TTTCGTTCAAAAGAAGTCTAAACAACTTAACTTCGAGTAGTAGCATGATTTCACTTTCAGTATGTGAGTGATGACCTGTGAAATATGTAACATTTTCAAATTCAGTATACTTACTGACCTATAATATACACAACATTTTAAAGTTCATTATACTTACTGACCTGTAAAATACGTAACATTTGAAAATTCATTATACTTACTGAGCACATAAGCCGTCGTAACAAGCTTTTAAGCTTTAATAAATGATGAATCAATTTGAGGGTTATGTGTTCATTTTAAGGGACCCTGCAAAACTTTTTCAAGTAGCCATGGAATAGATCTACTAACGAAGCTTAATTATTGCCTCACCAATTCACTGCCGTGAAAACTACCAGAATCTGCCCAATACCAGTGGAGTTGCAAATATTTTATTGCATGCCGCCATTGTATTCTCTGTTCTTGTCCCGACAAAAGCGCTAGACTCTAAGCAGGGAGGAATGGCAAGGGCACAGAAAATAAGCCACACGATCCTCGTGACCTTGAGTAATTCTCTTTCTTTTTCTCCTCCTGTGGCTGCCCTAGTAATGACCAAGCACTCCTCGCTCAAATCAGCCAATGGCTGGTACGAGTGATTTGTGAGCTGGTGGCGTCATTTGCCAAGAGGAGAGAGCAATTTTTAGACAGACGACTTTGAAAATTTATTGTGAATTGCAGGCCACACGTTTCCCTATAATATTTAGCCCGCGTGTGTACGGTAGCCTCAACCACCGATCGGCAGCGTTTTCCGACCATGCTCAAAAAAGACTTGCACGACCCATTTAAATTCAAAGAAGGGCTTCGCGGCAGTGCGTATTTTCCCTAAACAGATGCCTTCACGGTTTAACACCCTCACACTGCAGCGAAACCATCTTTACAAACGATTACATGTGGATTAATATACACCTATTTGTTCATTGCGAATACTTCAAAATTTTCTATAATTTAAATTCCAATCAAAGCAAATTCAAATACTCTACTATTCATTCGAATATTCGAAGTATTCAAACATTCACACAAGCTTACTTATTTCCTAATGCAACAGTCCATGCACCCTTCCTCTAGTGGAAAAAAGAAAAAATGTATTGGCATGGTCTCCGTGTGCTTCTCGATCACAGAGTTTTCCATTCTGGTGATCTCGTTTGTCCTGCATCGCTACTAAGCCAAGCACCACCATTCCACCAAAATGTCAGAAAGCAGCATAGAAAAATGAAATAGACAGATTATCAAGCTTCACCTTAAAGGGGAACCCCGGTGCATTTTCGATCTCACTGAAGATAACGCTATTTTCAAATAGTATTGACAGTCCTGCAAAAGCTAGGGTGGTTAATTGTGCCCCGGCACTCGCAATAATTTTAATTATGCTATAAACGACAAGTCAAAACAAAAACCGAAACAGAAAACTGCTCCGTCATCCATGGTGGGTATCGGATGGCGTCACAAGAATCCATCATGGTGACGTCACGAGATCCGCTACACCTCGCCGCGGCTGGTCAGAGTGTAAACATAGCTCACACACCTCTTATAATGCGAGAAAAGGAACATGGCGATGTCATCTGACACGAAATCCAGCTGTTCCAGCTCGTCTGAACTTGCTAGTGACAAGTTGAGCAACGACTGCAACTACTCTCCGAGCGCGACGCATTGCTTTTTGATTTCGACCCGCCGGCACATGAAGCATCTGATGTGCAACAAATCGATTTCCTCATTGCTCAATATTGTAAGACCCGACATCAACGACGACTAACACGCAGTATGCAGCTGACAAAACTGAACTGTGCCGGCATTGTCATCGCCTCGTAGAAGAAAGTGCGCGCTGCCTCCGTCTGCTGGTAAAGGTGGGGTTTTTGAAAAAGAATAGGTCCTTACGTCACATACACAGAGCGACCCGTGTTTTAAGTGTGATTCCAGAACCATCTATTAATTTTAATATTTGTTTTCCATAAAACTAAATGACTTGCAGTTGTATAATTTGGCATATAGCACGGTACCGACGAGAACACATGTTCAAAGTTTTACAGGGTTCATACAAGTCTCCAAAGGGAAAATTCAAGAATATTCAAGTGTCGGCGCTGGACATTTCCGCGTGCAACTTCTCTTGCCAGGAAAATGCTGAAGCCGAAGTAGAAATGCTTTGCAAGCTGCGTGCGCACTTGCAGCGCCTGGCCTGCGGCACGAATGTATTCCGCGGGTTGCTCTACATCGCCAGCGTGCCGAAGGTGCGGTGATGACAAAACGCTGCCGCATATTATTTGCTTCTGTCCTGACCTGGCCACAGAGCGCTGTGTATTGGTGAGCCGCTATCGTCTGCTTGGACTACCCGCCACAATGATGGAAGACATACTTTTTCCCGCACGCTCGAACATGCATGCCCTCCGAGCCTTCCTCGACTTCTGTGCGTGTGCGGACCTCGCAGCCTTACAGACGAACGCTTTTGCTCCGAACTACTGACTGTGCTAACAAGACGTTCTCTTGTCATGCCTTTCGCTTTTTCCTTCTCTCCTCTCTTCTTCCTATCATCTTTACCTTGCCCCATCCCTAAAGGCGCGAGTCGTGCCCCTGCAACGGGAGGCAGAAAATAGCGTCCTTTTTATCTCTTCCTCCATCATTAACCTCTCTCTCGGCGTGCGAAATTCATTGACTCGCTGCAAAGCAAACGTGTGCAGACGCGCATCACCGATTACTTCAATTAATAACGTACGTCCTGTGATTTGTGAATAAATGTAAGTCTTTTAAAACTTCCCCCTCGTGTGTTAGCTCAATGCACATGCGACGCTACAGGGAGAGCCCTCTGTTTATTTAGCCTTCATTAATTCGAACTTCTTTTAATTCAAACAAATTTTCGGGCCCCTTCAAGTTCGAATTATCGAGATTCGACTGTAATAACTTCAATAAGTACGATACAGGCGCCAAGATTCATTTATTCTCGCTATATAATTTGTCCCCTTTTTGATATGGACAATTATAAGTTCCTGTTTGCGGAGACCGAGTTGTGCAGGTACATAGCAGTGTAGCTCACTTAGTCACATGATCACAAAGCTTTCCACGCGTCATGCTGCGTATTGTCAGCTCTCGCACACATGTGCCACACAAGCTCTTGCAAAACAAACTCTCCGCTACCTGCTGCAGCCGCAATGTTTTGCCGGTATGTATGGGGCAGAAGTCCATAAGTCACTCAGCTGAGTACAGATCTGGTGTGACGTCACTAAACTTTTGTTGCCCTTCCTGTAGAGTTACGTCAGTGCTGGACGCACTCGCAATGGGCCTCGATTAGGAGAATGAACAATTAGGTACATTTGGGAAGTGACTTAAAGTATATTCTTAAACCCACAAGGTGCTTGCTAAAGCCTTGAAATTTGATGGCACCACCCCATCAAGAGTGCCGGTTTGTGCACAGCTGACACTCGCAGCACGTTTCTCAACAACCAAGAAGTAACAACTGTGACAGTGGTTAATTTACACTCATCCTGTGTATATATTTGTATTCTTTTCTAGCACGCAGTTCTTGGTTTGTTTTAGCAGCACGCGTCCAGTGTCAAACTACGACAGTCGTTCATTAGCACTCGTCCTGTGCACTTTCTTTTTATGCGTCCTTCGTGCTTGAACGGCACGTTGCATATATGGGGTTGCTTGGCCTTCTTCGTGTGGCATTCTAATTTCTTGCTAGTACATTTACTGCTTCACCCTCGCCACAAACTACATTTTTTTTCACATGCGGTTTTACAAAATGGGATCATGTGCACCCACTCCACATTACTGCTTCAGAAATGGGGAGTTTGACAGGTTCACACACCGATGTACCACATTTAGGAGGTCGCGATGTCGATATAAGAGTGCACTACTCAGATAATTTAAGGATTTTCAAGGATGGCAAAAAATTCCAGGACTTTCAAGGACATTGAAAGTGCATTTTTCAAATTCAAGGGTATTCAAGGATTTCAAGGACCTGTACGAACCCTGTTTTATTGAAATCGGTGAATATCGAAAAAAACGCCGGAGTTCCGCTTTAAGACATTTCCAAAACTTTCAGTCATGGCAACAAGCAATCAAATGCAAGTACTGTATTTACTCGCGTAATCCTCGCACTCACATAATTCTTGCACTCCCTACATCGCCCAACAAAAATACGTTTTCTTTTTTTCCTTTAGTAATTATCGCACCCCTGAAAACTGCCACAATTATGTCGTCTGCTCGTTTTAGCCACTGATGATAGCGCGCACCATCTGGAACCATCTCTTAAGCATCAAGCGTACTATTATTGCACGGAGATTCAATTCAAGCCAAGCCAAAGTGGCAAGTGCGCGTTGCGACGTGTTTTGTACATTGTGTCGGTAATTTTGTCACGTTATGGGGCGATACTGAAGCTACACGGCTGCTTTCAAGTTGAAAGAGATAGATCATGATCTAAGCAACAGCAACAGGGCCGCCGGTAAGCCTTTCGGAGCATACGAGTTTTGTGTTCTCTACAGGTGACGACAGCTGAAAGCCACCAAGACGCGTTGGGCCTGCCATGTGCCTAAAACTGGGATTGATGGTAAACTTTATTTTGTCAGAAGAAAACTTTTTTTGTCGTTGCTCAACAGGAGCCCTTTTGAGGGCTCCTGTTGAGCAACTAACGCTACTGCCATGCCCACAATGCCCACAAGCTTTGCGTATGGTATTCTAATTCTCGACTATTTGCTTGCACTTTTTGTGTCTCAAATAAATCTTCCCTTGTGTTGAACCTGTGCTTTTATTGTTGAGGTAAGTTTTAGTTAGTACTTCTCAAAGCTTGCTGTTAATTGCTGGTGTGAGAATCCCAATTTGCAGCCACTTCGTTTTCTTTTTCGCTCCGTACGTTTTCGTGGAAAGTTTTCCCCACGTAATTCTCGCACCCCCAGCTTTGCATCAGTTTTCCGCCAAAAAAGTGCGAGGATTATGCGAGTAAATACGGTAACAAAATAAATAATGTCATCAAACATGAATAGATATCGAATAATGCTCACTTTGGGTGGCTTAGCATCAAGCAGCAGGCTCAGCATACTTTTTTTTGAATGCTGAAAATCTTTTGGCCCCTGCTGAGTGTTCACTTGACGGCTGTGCAGGGCACGATTTCGCTCCTCAAAAGATGCACGGCAGGGCCTCCTGCCTGAAGCTTTGTCCTTTTCTGGTAGTCTGGCACCTTTAGAGCCACCAGGGTCACTCTTCATAGACGCAGCTTTGCAAGGAAGCGATGAGCCCAATGCAGCTCCTTCAGCCCGGGCACTACAAGATGTCTTAGGGAGCATGTGTCCTCTGGGAATAGACAGAAGCACACGCTTACAATTTGGGCATGATACAGTACAAAAATGTGGAAACTGTGTACAAGGAAACAGAGGAAGCAATTACACTTGAACGAAAGATTAGTCGAATTGTGCTTACAGAGCACTTGTGCACAGGCACGCTATAGCAGGACAATTGAGTAAAAAAAAAAAAAAACTAAATCAAACTTGTAACATCGCAAGTAGACATTCTTGCATGTTTACCGATAAAATTTTCAGAATTTAATATTAAAAAAATCAACTTATGAACTAACTACAAAAAGAAATGCTCAAAGTGTATTACCTAAATAGGCTGATCAACTACTGAAAAATAAAAAAAAAACACCAGCCAATGTCAAACACCCTGCCTATACTTTTGGGGTTGAGAGAGCAGGATTATAGGAAATGTCTGTCAAACTTGTAATCCCCACAGTGGTTTTTTGAGAAAAACATGTGAAACATTTTGTCACAATTTTCACAATTGCAGCGGCAAGGCGCAGGTGTTAGCTGTTCAAGTAACAGGACAAGAACCATAGTGATTTGTTTAAAGTGAATTCAGCAAGTGCTTCTTTGGTGGTAAGAATAATCAGCAAAATTTGACAGTAAAGCACTTAATTAATGTGCTGTCAAAAACAATAAGAATATTTTTGACGTTAGAGGATGAAAATTTGACAGCATTTTCTTGACAAAGTGCCACCATTTGGGCATTATCATGAAAGGGAGAGCAAGATCAACTCAAGTTTTATTTTTTGTTCAGTTGCTGACAGCAGCGGTGGTCCAGCCATTTAGAATCTGTAGAAATTTTTGGAGCAGAAAAAAGATTGTTTTGGAGCCGATTTAGAAAAAAAAATATCTGTAATTTGGAGCAGATTTGGAACTGAAAAATTGTGTTTTGGCAGTGGTGTGACAAAAGGTGGTTAACAGGCACTAAGGAAAAGCTCAGATGGAGATTATAGAAACTTTTTATATCAGTGCAAAAAGTTCTGGGTGTATCAGTCACATTTCAATTTGTTTCTAATGAATTAAAATGGCAATGTTTGAGCACTACGTGCTGATTTGATGCTGCCTTAGGTTTCTTTCAGTCATCATGCATCAAGACAGGCTGTTTTATAAATATGTAGTTTCTGAATAAAAATGTCGGTTAATAGCATGATGTCCTGTTTTTCAGTATTTCTGTGGCAGACATTTTGTCCCTCTTGAGTATGACAAAAGGACAACCAACATGTTAGGCGGGAAGCATGTCGCTGTTTTTCCTTTTTTCTTTTTTGGTGGTGGTGGCAGTCATAGAGTGAGGTTGACTAGCCGGATCCACCCTCTCCCACTTTACGTCGGTTTCGCAGTTATGATGTGAAATGGCAAGTGCTTCAAAGCACGTTAGAAGCTGCTACACTGCTTCGTGAATACCGGATACGCTCTACATTTTAGATTGAGGCTTTGCCTTACAACAAGCATGTTGAAGGGCATTGCACAGCATTAGTGACAAAAATCTTTTTCGTTTTTTCAAAATATTAAATGCCCGTTTGAGTATTCACTCATTTGAAGACTCAGTTTATAGTATGCATAGGTGTTGCTGCATGGTTGCGGTGGCTACATTACAATACAAACAGAGGGAGACCAGCTTTCAGCCTATTGACACCATGCCAAAATTTCTAAAAAGGAGGTACATGCAGTCCTGCAGAAACTTTGGTTAGGCTAAATGTAATTACAGAAAGCATATAGCAGGAATAGAGTGATGTGAGGGCAGCAATATCGAAAAAGCCCTTGGTGTGTTTGGTACCATATCCAAGAATATTTTGGGCCAGAAACACTTCACAGATTGTACAGCAGCTGGAATGGTGAACTTGAATGCAGTTGACATAATCTACACTCAAATGGGCACAGCAAGGCACAGGAATATGGGAGTGTAACAAAATGGTAGCACTTGTCACCACTGTCAGCCATAGCCATGCCATTTCAAAACAAACAAGATCATTCCTTTCTTCGCACTAACCTAACCTAACCTAAAATATTAATTAGAAACTTCTCACCATCGACACACATTTATAATGCTCCTAACAGGGCTGCACTTTTGAGATTTTTCAAGGTTGGCTGGAGCACAACCAAATACATAACAGCATTATTTTTGCAGATAATGCCTAAACCTCGCTTTACATACCTAACATATTGATGCATGAAGTATAATGACAATGAAGTAGAGTGTTTCCCATATTCAGAAACACTCCTTGATTTGAACTTGACTTGCCACTGACTCCATGCAGCACCAACAGGTTTTGGATGCACTGTTTAAGGCAGTGCCAAGACAGCACAAACACACAAACATGTTTTAAACGCACTGCATTGAAGGTGGTGGCAAGTCAAGTTCAAGTCAAGGAGCGTTTCTGAATGCAGGGGCTAAATATGGTGGGAAACAAGCCAGTGGTGTATGAATGCGGCACATAAATCAGGGATGCAAGAGGAAACGGAGGGGGGGGGGGGGATGCACTTTTTCGTAATGACGTGGGAATTTGAAACTGACAGCTAAATTGGAGGAGGCACTTCACCTTTCTGAAAAGCACTGCTGTTGCAGCTGCCGCGGTTGATCGGAGTATGCTGCCTTCTTTTGCATGCCAGAGGTTGGCGCCTTGGCAAGAGATGCTTTGTGAACTGAGCTCTTAGATGTCACAGAACTTGAACAGCACTTTTCGTGATCATTCCTTACGGGAAAGAAATGTTTGAGATAGACACTGCTTTGCCTGATGGGTTGGATAGCTGAAAAAAACGTAAACATACATTAAAATTTGAAACTTTCGTACAGTGATGCAAAATGTGATTTAAAATTGGCATTCACAGTTTCCATATTGCAGCAGGTTTGCTCAAGAACCTCCGCCTCTAGACAGTTTATCTAAAAACATGAGTACGAATTGATATATTTACTGCCACTGGGCAGTAAATAATTTAAAGCAATGAGATAGTGCATTGATGCCAATCACAGCTAATGACATTCACCCACAGAACCCATTTATTGTGTAATCATGATGACAGGGGCACTGGCAATAATTTGCCAAAGTAAACAGTAGCATTATTTATTGTTTGCTTCCTAATCATTCTTGCTGTACACTGCAATAGTGAAAAAAAATTAATACTAAATTTTTTTTAGACAGTTTCTAATAACCTCTGCTGGCCACGTTTCATTTAGTAACTGTCTGCTGTGGCGGCAAAGTGTTGATGGCACAGGCAGTTTTTTGGTGACGTGAATTGTTATTACGGAAGAGAGTAGAAATATATGGACCAAGACATGATTTATAGTGTTCTTCTCATCATAGAAGCTAGACAGCAGACACTGCCATAAACTAGAATGCGACTTCTGGAATACCCAGTCACAATGAAATTTGGTGTGTATGTAATTCCCTACAAATGACACTGAATGTGCCGTGTGACAGATATTAGACCAATACGACCCACATTTTGCACTTTTACTGAGTTACAGCCCTTACACAACGCAGGCTCACAAAAAGTGCGGGGGGTAGTGGCGTTTGGAATCGAAAAAAAAATTATTTGATTAAATTGAATAAAAATTTCGATCGTGACAGTTTTTAACACTGACTCCAAAATACTTTTTTTTTCAAGTTGGCTGAATGGTCGCAGAGATAATTAAAATGAATCTATTGTTTATACAGTCATAGCCAGAAGAATATTGATACTCACATATAGCTGAGAACTACAAAGCACAAGGCACACAAATGCCAGAATAGCTCTCTTATACTGCAAGTACAGTAAAACCTTAAAAACAAAGTCTGAAAAATTGGCAAGTTACTTTGCCATATTAAAGCTTTACTAAATTGCATTTTGACTTTTTATATAGTTGCCCTAGGCTTTTTAAATTTTTAAATTTTTGCAGGGGGAGTGCTAAAATAATGAAAAATACAGGAGCACAAAAAGTAATTTCCATTCACATGCAAGAAAAAAAATTTCTTGAACCTGGGATCTGGCAATGGGGGCTTGGTGCTGCGTTTTCGAAGAAGTCACTGTCACAGCAGCTGCATGCCACGCGTGAACCTGAAGGAAATGCAGGTCAAATGCACTGTGGTAATATCGGATATGCATTCCGAAAAACCACTTGCCACTCAGTTGAGTGGCAGTCTGATGACTTTATTCTGCAAAAGTTACAATTCATCGCCTGAATCTTCCTCTGGGCAGCACTGAATCTTTGTTGTATTGATTTCACATATATGACACGTTTTGTCATGTTGAGGTTCACAATACATGGTGTTCTATGAGCATAAAATTGTGAAAAGTGAAATACGGTGTTGTTTCAAGAATTTCATTATGCTGAAGTTCATTATATCAAGGTTTAACTGTATTACAAGATTTATGGCAATTGGAAGATTTGAATTTGAAGATAAAAATTTATAAAAACAACATTTAAAACATGCTCCTACATTTCATGTAGTACACATATGTAGAAATGTACAACACATATGCATCATGTATGTACTAAATTTCATGTAGTTCACGCATGCCACCACAAGATTTATGACTATATGGGCCCTTAACACAGAAATAATGCAACTACAAGCTTTAAAAAAATGCCAAGAATTAGATTTCTAAAAACTTTAAAAATAAAATTATCTTATATTTAAAAAGAAGAATCAAGAAGAATTAGAATACATATTTTCAAATTCTATTGCATTAGTTAACCTCCAGGAACATAGTCTGCATGGCTAAAGTCACTCCAGGGTTAGCACTTGAATTTCCCAAACCGCACTTTGTTTACTGAAACCTTGGCTCGTACTGAGCACATACTCATACTGAAAATCAATATTACAGCTAAGATAATCAATTTAACGTGCATGAAATTTGGTCAAGTGGTAGAATAAGTGTTCAAAATTTTAAAAGTACAAATTTCCCATAATTGAAGTTTTTTTTTCAGTTTTCCGGCCTTCAAAAGATCTTTGCACCACTTCTTTAGCATGGTCAGAAAGCTCTCCTGATGAAAAGTGAAGACTACAGACAACATGCGAGCCGAACCCTACAGTACTGCACATAGCCTGGAATTTACAATGAATTCTTAAAGCCAGGTAGACAATACTCGGTCTCGTCTCTACAAATGATGCCATACACTCAAATTCATCGTGAGCTGCATAGTTACTATGGACACTGCAGAATGCCTCTATGTACATACGTGCTCACGATTACACTGAAAGGAAGCCGTTCATTTGCAGAAAAACAAATAAAAGAAAGTGATCAAGGTCATGATCACACAGGCAACAGTGCATGCGTCGGTAACTAAGGAGCAAAATGTGTTTTCTCGAAATAACAAACAGTCCCTTCCCAACCTAAACACGCTTTTCCACATGACACCAGTGTACCGCGGCAAAAGTGACTTGAGCGTTCAGCACACAGTGGACTGAGGCCAGACTGTCTTATTTTTTCTTTCTTTCATCCCAATATAAGTGCGTGCAGCTTGGCTAATTTTGCCACTTTACAGGTTGCTGATCCTCTTTGTTTTTAATTCTTAGTGGCATAAGAACCTAATATTACGCCGGAAGCAGCAAAAGCAGCAGATATTTTTCAGCCTAAAGAAACTGAAAGAATGAAATGAACTAATTTCTGCAATGATGCTGTTCAAATTAAGTGGCTTTAAGATAAACTGTAAACATAGGGGCTGACCAGAAACATGAAATTTATTCAAATTATACGAAGGTTTGAATTATCAAAAGTCTACTGTAATTGTGAAGTCAACGTTTTTTCGCCACTTTTAGACACAAGCTTCTGAATTCTATGCCACATGCAACACAATATTTAGCTCAGACGCCCACAGGAACCTTGTTTACAGATCTACTATGTTTTTTTTAAATTGTAATGAAGACAAACACAGATGAATTGAGCATGCAGCAAAGGCTCGAACTAATTCACTGTGCTTAAGGCATTGTACGACTAGTCGTCATATCAAGGTTAAAGGGGCCATGACAACCTATTTTCACTCATTACCTGTGTTATGTAGGTTATTCCTTGTTTTTTCACAAACAAGCTGTACAAATTTCAGCGCATTTGGTTAAGCACGTAACGTGTAACGAATATTTTTATGAACACACGAGCAGACGAATAGAGTGGCAACACTAGCACACTCGCAAGCCGTGATGTAACAAGCTGCTTGCTTTGAGAGTGTATACTGGCCAAGGATTTTGTTTTGTGGTCAGCTACACATACAATGAAGCTACCATTTCAGCTTTCTTCAGCTTGGGTTTGAAACTTGAATGAATTGCAGTGGCTGATGCTTAAATAGAAGAAGATCGCGGCTGTCCACAAAACACATAATGTGACACATATCATAGGAAAATGGTGGTTGTAGGTGGTGGACAGGATTCATTGCTGGTGACTTCTACGGCTAATTTGGGAATAAAATATTTCGCAGGTTATTTTCATGCATTTTCCTACCTGGTGCTCGTCTTTCTTTGTCAGATTCATCCTCGTCATCACTAATCGGCAACTGTACTTTAAATAGTTCTGGATTCTCCATACTGTAAGAAGAGTAGAACAATGACTATCATTGCAAATCAGTGGCAAGACACAAACCTCAACAGCAAGAGCATAGACATCAGCAGATTAGAGTCTTGCAACTTTTTTCCACAAGAATACCACAATCTCACTATCATACCTTTTCAATCGTTCAATAAGCATTTCTTATTCTGAGGACTGCCAGACTCTGGAACTAACTGACAAATATTGTACTACAACCATCTTTTAAAAAGTAAGTATTGCCACCAGTGCCCATTAGATTAGTTTCTGGTATTGTAGTCTAACGTTCTGGATATGACTATATACTACAACACCCTCTTTGAAATATTTTAATTGTATCTGTAATAACTTGCATTTTATTTCGATAACAATTGTTTTCTCAGCATTAGATATTGCATAACTATGCCTGTAACACTTGACTGTATTTCTCATTGTATTTTTCTTCCATGTTCATGTTTTTTAATAAATATTGCACACATGCCAAAGTTGAATTTTTTCACTATTCCCGACTGTATTTCCCACATTGCTAAAGTGCCTCTACGACATTGCAGAATCCATAAAAAAAAATTAACAGAGAGAGAGGGGGGAGAAAGACCAGAGATTAAAGCCACAAACCTGTTTCATGAGACTTTAAATGTAACTATCAGAATTAACATATGTACAGTCACAAAAGCGGCTGTATATGCATGTGAAAGGTTGTAAATATTAACAAATGCACTACTCCAAGAAAACCCAAAGATTTTTGCATAATAAGAGAGCTAAATAGAGTTTTTAAGCTTATTAACAGAGTTTTAAGCTTATTAATAGACTCCTGGTTTACAGCCATGCTATACCAGCAAGTACATGCTACGAGAAATTATACTAACTAAAAACCGATACCGAAATTTTCTTTGGCATTTTTGTGAAGGAATATCTTGTTTTTGTTTCTCCCTCATGCCATCAAAGAATCCACAGAAAGAAGTAAACGAATTTTTATTACACTCTGTACTTGAGTGCGTATGAGCCACTGTGTGCATTTTCTGCTGAATACATCAGCAATATTTACACGTCTTGGCTAGCTAATCAGACGTGCCTGCAACTCCAAATAACCAACAGTCTGCAACCTCTCTTGTCTCCCTTATTTACTCACCTCCACTAAACTCCACCAAACCTCCTCTACACCTCACCCTTACTTCCTATTCGCAAAACTTGATATATTCTGCTATATATGGCTATGCTATGCTTTATCTCTGCTCTGCCTGGTTGTTGAGCAGTACCCCCTCGATGAGAGGCAGAGAATAGTGCCTTTTTTTTTTCTTTTTTTTTTCACCACTCACTCTGCCCTTCTCCCCGATCCTCCAGTCTTTCCTTACCCTCACTTTTCACACTCCTTCACACATGGCTATACTATTATTCGATCTCTTCCCCTTCTTTCAATCCACTTCACCCTCACATCACTCCTCATCCTCACTTCCCTTTCCCACCCATTGCATGAGTTCTATTCGCTATGCACAGAGTTTTAAACGATGCAGGCCAAAGAGAGAACTCTGCCTTAAATAAAGGCGAGTAAAATGGATTTTTTTTCTTTGGATGGAATGGAAAAATTGTTGCAAGATCCGGGGTCAGCGTGAAATTGAGTGGCCTAACCAAGATTTTCAATACAATAATTTTATAGGGATACTGCCGGGACCAAACTGATTTGTCGTAAAATGTGGTCTGTCGCAAAACCGAAGGACGTATAATAGAAGTTTCACTGTATTGATCGAATGGCTTCTTGAAAGGAGTTCATTGCCTCATAAATCAACTAGTACCACAAAAATTTTCAGAATCAATCTTGTTAGTTAATTCGGTTTTTTATGGCGCAAAAGCAACTGAGGCTATGCTGCGCCAGACACAAGGTGTTTCGAAACGCGCGCTCAGATGACAAGGTTTGAAAGCTTATTTAGAAAATCACAATCTTTCATGAAGTCTATCATGTCATGCATAGTTACTAGAGAATGATTTCCTATAAGTAGAGATGGGTGTAAAAGTATGAGTTGTTTGTATAGTGCGCTGAAATATTTTTTTTCTGTATTTCAGTAGCAGGGCATTCGATTCAGATGTGTATAACTAATAACGGTTATTGGCCTTTTTCCGCATATTGGTTGTTGTTCCTTTGAGAGTAAAAAATTGTGAGTCAAGTGTGAGTGCCCAATGTGAAGTCCACATAATATAACTTCGATAAACCGTTCTTGGTGACGGCAGGTCTTCCATTCACCAAGTAAAGGCTTCACTAGGTGAAGCTTGTGACTTCTGTGCAAGTCCAACTGTTGCTGCCATTTTGCTAACAAAGATAGACGAATTGCGCACAGGCTGTCTTTATGGGGAATGTTTACTTTTGATACTGTTTCATGAGCTGCCATCGAAGCAACTTATCTGCTTTTTCATTTTCAGGTATCCCAACATGGCTTGGGACCCAGCAAGGAATTTGCTGAAAAGCGGAGACTACCGACAGCAAATGCCAGATATTAATACTACAATCATCCAATCACCTTACAGGAACTAAACAAGATTCCGCTGGCAAAAAACAGCACCAGGCAGTGACCGTGTACACTACTCAATGCTAGCGCATCTATCCCGACCATCGGTTGAAGTACTACTCCATTTCTTTAACAAAATATGGGACACTGGCACTATGCCTGAAGATTGGGCTACAACATTCACCAAAGGGGCAACAACATTCACGGTCCTTATGGACAACTGTAAAGCCCTTGAGGAAATCATAACGCTTCGCTCCTAAGTTTGTCTCCTGGAGGCAGAAAGCCACTTGTGAGAACTTGTTAATAATGTCCTTGATGTCACCCACATTGCGTAATAATCCTCTACAGTTCCTGTGTATGATAAAAGCCATCATGGGGTAAAATCAAGCAATATAAAAGTGGAGATTGTTTAGTTAAATTAAAAGATGATAGGTGACAGTATTATGAACTGGTTATAAATACATGCGATAACCGATATGGTTATCACTTACTTATCATGGTTATTTGTACCTTTTCTTGTTTGGCGCACTCAATGGAGCGCTTGTCCTTCAGTGTCAATGACACCGAAGTATTTGAATCGACCTCGATCGCCCTGTCCGAGCCACTGGAAGGTCGAGAGCTGGGCACTGAGACACTTGTCTCAGGCCTAGGCGTTCGGTTTATTTTAAGGCCCAGTGAGACAAGGGTCTGTGGGCCTTTTGGGGTAGATGGAGTAGCAGACACTGCTTCCATCAAGGGGGAAGGGGTCACAATGGGACCACTTTGTGTGGACCCGGACGTCTGAGGCCTTTGCGACGCTGCCCCCGACTGCGTCTCAACGGCGTAGCTTCTGTGGAAAAGGTGACACAACCGTTGTCATGCCTCACGAAATGAGATCTTTTCGTTGATTGTCAGAGCAATGATTTCTTTTTCCTTTTTCCAGAACTGGCATGATCGCGAACACGCTGGATGATTACCTTTACAGTTGGTACAAAGTGGAGACTAAGTGCAATTCTCAGAAGTGTGGTTGTTTGCACTGCATTTGGCGCATGTTTCCTTGCCTCTACATGTGTGGGATGTGTGGCCAAATCTTTGGCATTTGAAATAGCATCTGTTTGAAAACCTTCAAGAAGCTTTTCAACAGCGTCTGTGGCTGGGGATGTACGGTCTGACATTTATTTTGACATACCCAGCCTCAAGCGAGGTGGGCACTTCACATGAACCAAAGGTAAGTAAAACATGGTTGGTAGGACTCTCCTGGTTGTTGCGATGAATGACTATTCTTTGAACCTTTCTCACTCCTTGATCTTGAAAACCTTCAAGAAGCTTTTCAACACTCAAGTTCAAAAAGTCTTCCTCAGGGATTACCCCTCTACTAGTATTCAGAGACCTGTGGACCGAAATTGTAACCGTGGCTTCAAAAATACTGGTTAGTTCAGATAGTTTTGACACTTGATCTTTTTCAGTCAATTCTACGAGAAGATCTCCGCTTGACATTTTTGAGGCTTTTTACATGGGTCCAATCTCTTATTTAGGGCACTTGGCCACCAAAAACAGGGATAGCTTTCTTGCTGGTATATTTGCATTGTGAATGACATGGTACTTTGGGAATGCTACTTCGTTCTGCATGAAAAAGTGAAAAGTTGCCTAGGTGCAGCGTCTTTTGCGAGGCGGATCAAAGTTGAGGGTGCTCGAGAAGCCATAAGAGGATTAGTGTATTCCGCAACAGCACCGAACGCTCACCACAGAGCCACGAAGACTTGTTAACAAGCCTCCAAGCCGCCACGGAGACTTGTTAAAAAGCCTGCACGACGCCAGCCGTACGCTGTCACTCTAACCCAATATACATACTCAAGACTGAATATGACACACAAAGTTAACCCTTGCCGCCAGAAAAATTGGAAGTAAATGGAAGAAAGAAGACGACAGGACAAATAAAAAGTGTGAGAGAAAGATGAAGATGAGGGAAGAGAGAGAAAGGAAAAGGCGACTGCCGATTTCCCCTGGGTGGGTCAGCCCAGGGGTGCCGTCTACATGAAGCCGGGGCCAAAGGGGTGTGTTGCCTCTGCGGGGGGGCCTTAAAGAAACAATCGCCCGGTGTCGGCTCAACCCCCAACATTCCCTTTTCCCTGGACACGCCTCAGCCACGCATGGCTAGGCATGGGAGAGGTCGGAACCCCCCTCGTTAGCTCAAGTCCGTGGTGTCGCTACTCATTAAACGCCTGCTTGCACGGACACCCCTGCGGGGGAATCAATCTGGTGTGATTGAAGTTACAGTGATTTGTCACATGCGAAAAATGGGCCCTGCAGCACCCATTGAGCATAGTCAGAAAACGCTGCTGATCGATACTGCAGGTTCCCTAGAACACGCGAGCAAAAATTGGGCAGCACATGGCCTGGAATTTACCTTTCATTCTCCAGGTCTGCTAAAAATCACCCCCTTTTCTCTCTACGAACAATGCCAGTATACCCAAATTATTTAAAGGTAAACATATTGAAGGCAAGCATATTCGTTCTGGAAAAAAACAAAGCAAAGAAAACAATGTAGAAAACAACACGGTAACAAGAATGATGGAAAGAATGACCGTGGAGAGGGGGACAACCACCATGAAAAGTCTCTAGCTTCGAAATCGGCCAGACAGTCATCCCCTGAAGAAGAGAGCGAATGGGTTTGAAAACATAATGACAGTTTTTAATTTTATAGTAAGAACTACAGACTGCAGACGACTGAAGAGTTTATTTTTTCGTACCCATATTATTGTGGCATAAACCCAAGTCCAGGACCATGGGCCGATTTGAGCACTGTGAGCTACATAGTTACTATTGCTGCCACAGGACGCCGTCACGTACCCAGGCGCACAATTACACTCAAAGTAAGCCGTGCCCGCCGCGTATTTGAATAAAAAAGAACGATAAAGTACTCAAGGCTATGACATGCGCTCACAAAGGGCCGCGTCTTTTTGGCTCTTGTAATGGCCCTCCCTGCGTAGCTTTCAGTGCACTCCGAGAGGAGAGAGAAAGCGGTTGAATAGTGCGACAAATCGCTGTAACTTTGCTTGTAGTTGACGGATTCTAAAAGTTTTTACAACATGTGACTTGTGAAGCCTCACGAACTAATAGCAAGACGATTCTATGATAACTCAGAAATCTGTTCCAAGGGCCTTTCAAGCACTTCCTCCTTTTGTATGAACAAGCTAGCCGAAAGATATGAAATGACAGGGGGGGGGGGGGGCGACAAGAAGGCAAGAACTTACGTCTGTTTGTCAGCACGCACCATAACCTTGCGCACTTTATTTTTTTTATTAGACATGAGACTTGGCTTCAGTCTGAGTGCAAGCACACATGGGCAAGTAGCGGCATTTCACCATGGCTGCTTTAACTGTGCAGTTTATAATGCTTAAATCAGCAAATGGGCATGGACTTTGGTTTCACGGCACAGTCATTTAGGTTTATGGCATCATAAGTCAAGCCACATGCTATGCTATCATGATCTCGGGAGCCTCGACTACCCATCAGTAGCTTTTTCTGACTATGCTCAAAAAAGTGTTCCAGGGTTCGCTTACACAGCTCGGCTGTTAGAAAAATTAGGCATAACAAAATGGCTAAGTATATCGATACAGCGCAATAACAGTTTTGAACGACAATAAGAACACCTATTATACATTTCTGAATCTATCAAATAAGGTCCTTAACAAAAAGGCCAACATAATTGGAAACAACATGTTTGCTTAGTATATATATTATACAGAGTCACAGGTGGTTAGTACCATGGCTTTTTTAAATGCCACAGAACTGTTAATGTTAGCAATAGTATTAACCAAGCAGCTCGTTCCATTTACTGACTGAAATTGGAAGCAGAGATACACTGAAGGCTCGGGTGCTGCCAAAAAACACGAGCAAAGCCGCGTTATGCAACTGGTGTGATGTGCAATGAGGTTGTGACAGAGGCAGAGCATTTTCACTTGTACAGAAAGTGTTTTTGCGTGAAAAAGTGCTAATGCAATTACCCCTACCAAGTGCATACATAGTACATAACTCCTTGCAAACCTGAGGTATAAAAAACTAGTAAACAATTGACAGAATAATCTGCCATCAATTCCTTTTAGTACTAACGTCTCCCACACAGACATTTTCTACGTGTTTGAGATTGCAGTTGCGGACAACAGCTTTTCACCACTGTTTTCATGTATTGCTAATTTTATTACATAATTGCAGATTTACAATGCCTTGCCCTTTAGCATACACAGCCGTTGGCTACAGAATGAAACTTACTGCACAGGAACAAGTGAAGTCACGGTTTAAGTTTTTATCATTTAACTACAGCACATCATCTGAGAATAAAAGAAAGCCAGGTGTGCCAAAGTGAAGAAAAAAAAAGCATACAATGCTTACCACTTGCGAATTGCTAGAGGAGTCTCGGGAAGAACATTTGGAAGAGAGCGTTGTGAGCCTTGAGTATTCTTTCCAGGTACACCACTGTGGCCTTGAGTGGAATGACATGAATGTACGCCTCCAGACTAGCATTTGAAAACAAAACCATCAAAGAAAACCAATGTTGTTTTTAAGACTGCTTTCTTACCGCTATATTTTAACAATGCAGACGACAAAAGAATGTGCATTCAAGAATGCTGATTAAAATATGGTACCTCTCTTAGAATTGATAGCGAAATACGTATAATGCATACACTCGGTTTTATGCTTCTTTCATACTACATAGAACAGGACACCATAACAAGTGTATGTTAAATGCGCAGTGCTCTCTAACCTTTGCAACACACATTATGATCGACTGCCTATAAATGCAGGAAACTTACATAATTTGATTCCGAGGATATGGAGACGAAATTTAAAGCAAGTAGGAGTTTTGAATAATTTATAGTGTATTTTACTGCAATTGTAATTCCAATAAAATAATGATCTAATCATTACACAGTCAGCCATGCCACATTCCTTGATACATCAAATTCAACAAACCATTCAAATCGAATTATTATCTCATAGCAGGGAGCCTTTAAAAAAAAGGTAAAAAAAGGTTATTTGAAAATTCCTGGGTTAGGTCTTCCAGCAATACCTTGTCCCAGTTTTGCCACAAACACGGGAGAATGGCAGGCCTCGCTGCTTCCACCGAAAAAAAAAAAAAAAAAAGGGAAAGAGAGAGAGAGAGAATAAAGAGAAAAAAGACAAACCGCTGTAGTGATTAACTGAAATGCACACCTGCGGCAACACAGTGGTGTCAAGCAAACTGCACGTCGCCTGCTTTCTGCTGCGTCAACACGTCATAATGCATTCATTAGCCAATTCTTTGTGTTAAAATAAAGAACTTAATAATCGATATTGTTACAAAACTCGTGTTTTGTGTTTTGGCTGGAAAACAGGATCTTCGAGGTAGGCATTGCAGGCAACAACTCCGCCAGCAGTGCAAGTGTGCAAATTGCTGGAGCAATCAGCAATTGGAGGCTAACATACATTGCGAATTCCGCCAAACTGTCCTTCAATAATTTCTATATATTCCCAGAAAGAATGAGTAAGTCATGACCAGCTGACGTCGAGAAGCCTTCAATATGCTGCCTGCATGTTACCACTGTGTTGCAGTGACGCACGTCTTGTTTTCCACAGGCACAAATTTCAGTTGACCACAGTACTGTTTATTTTTGCACTGAAAGTAGCCAGGCTGGCATGCTTCAGCTGCCACTTGTTCGTATTGCTATGCTGCACTGCCTTGTGGCTTTTAAGGACCGTTGTTTCCACGGATTTGCAGCGAAATCGGGATCGGGAATCAGCACATGATACCCAAAGTTTTCTAATTTATCGGACTAGTGCTGACAGCCGCTTTAAATTATTCACTCAGACTTACATAGCAAAATACAGAACCGTGGACATATTCCCATACCTGCCAAGTTGGGAGAAACGGAATCGGAGAGCGTAGGTATACAATAAGTTGACCATGGGGGGGGGGGGGGGGGGGTGTATTGCGATAGCAATTAAATGAACACTGTTAGCGGAATTTCGCGGTCACTGCTGATCTGTACAGAGTCCAAACCGATAACATCACTTACGCATCGTCTGTTTTAAGTGTGAGCAAAAGCGCGCTAGCGCTAGGGATGAACGCGGCTGAAGCAGAGGTGAAACGACCCGGCGGGCACCGTCGGGCGAAGGGCACATGCGATAACATTGCTCCACGTGCGAGGCCTGTCGTCGCTTAATTACAAGTTATTTCGTCGGGCAAGGAACTATAGTACCATGGATTTCTTGCTCCATGCATAGTACAGTCCTGCTGACCACGTGCCTTCGCCCAGCTTGGCCTTCTCCGCTTGTAGACCGGACGCATAAGAAAAGAAAACAGGCACTCTTTTCGGCAACCCTTGCGAATGAGTAAAAAAAAAAACAAAAACAAAAAAGACTGTTGAAGGAAACAGGTAAGAATATGAGGAAGGAGATCTCGATAAGGGGGACGGAGATAAAAGAGTCTGTGAGACGAGAAAACAGTCGGTTTTAAAAAAAATGAAAAAAGTAAAAAAAAAAAGCTCTGACTTGTGAAAGGAAGAAGCCCTGGTTAATCGTAGCGAGCCGCTTAAAAATGTCCTCTATTAGGTTCGGTTAACCTTTATTAAGCAGCTAAGCTGAACCATGCTTCTACAAAGGTTAACCGAACCTATTAGGTTCGGTTAACCTTTGTAGAAGCATGGTTCAGCTTAGCTGCTTGAGGGAGAGCGGAAAGGGGACACATAAAGGACAGGTACACAAATTGTGTAGTGATGTGTGGGCATAAGCTTGTGCAGCTCCCTTCCACGTACAGGTGGGGAGAGTGAAGGTCCGTCGCAGGGTCACCCCCCCCCCCTCCCTTTCAGTTCGTCGAAGTCACTGCACCACTCCCTATTATGTCAATGTAAAGGGCTGACTATGCGCTCCTTCCCACCCCAAAGGTTAACAGCCGCACCCCCACCATTTGCATGCCTAAGGGTCCGGACGATGGATCAGCCACTAAGAGGGCCCCGCATTCCTTCTTGCGTGCGTTCGTTGGCAAATGCGCGCTCGCCCAGCCACGTCACATCAAGCAAGCGCTCCAGTCGGAGGCACTGGCTCTCTCCTTACTCAATTTTTTTTTATTGCAATAGCAATTATATGGACACTCTCGCCTGGATTTTGCCACCGGCTACAGCGTCAACGTGGGCGTGGACGATGATGTCATGCACCGTATATGTATACGTATCTATATATATGAAAACACAAGAAAAAAAATTCGGAAAAATACTCCGGCCCGCGGAATCGAACGTGGGACCTCTGCGTCGTGAAAGCGAGGCGTTAACCACTGAGCCACTCCAGAGCACATCCTTCACCGCCCAAACGGCAAGCTACGTATATCTACCACTTACCGCTGCTCACAAGCATTTCGGGGGGGAATTGTGTTTTCAGCATTACCAGCAAGATGGCACAATGAGCGCGCGTCGCCACATTGCATGGCGGCACCCGCTTTAACCTCCTACGTATACTTTGCCCGGCTTAGAAAAGGGGAGCAACACTCCATCATGCGCCCTTATCTCGTGGCGGCGAGGAGGGGAAGGTCGTACGCCTTGGCTGGCCTCGGTCTTTACATGAAACGATTCTGCTGTAGTTACTGGGTGCACACAGGTCACTGCAATCATTGCAGTCTCCGTTTGCAAAAAGCCCGTGCTTTTCAGACACAGCAAGTGACAAATGAGATGCCTATTAGTATGCATCCATACCTGTGAGTACGTTTCGTGTGTCATTTGTGCGTGAGGAACACAGGGAATGTTTCAATCTGCTTTCCATTCTGTGCGTGACCTTTTAATTTGTTTCATTGCTTCGCCTTTCAGGCAAAGCTGTGACTTTTTTCTCTCTCTCGCGTGTGCTGCGGCACAAGCTATTCAAAATATGCCATCATCTCTTCCTGGAATGCTGACATATTCAACAGCCAGCAAAAGCATCAACCGTACCACGGGGTCACTACCCTCCCTCAACTACAATGAAGTTTTCTTTTTTTTTTTTTCATTAATGTGCATGACCAAAAACTCCATAGCCCTGCACAATTTCGCTACTCCTACTCGGCAGGCCGCATGTTCCGGCGCTATTTTCGTATCTCGAAAACGTACATTGAACTGAGTTGAACTTTGCTACTATCATAAAAAAAAAAAGGAACCCTTTTTACTAGTTGGCCAGACAACTTTGCTCGAGTGGCCAGACAAAGCACTGGACACGCGAGGCAAAACTGGATTTCCGGGAGATTTTCCCATGACCCGTAAAACTGGGAGAAAAGTTGCAAATCCGGGAGTCTCCCGGGTAATCTGGAAGACTTGGCAGGTATGTATTCCGAATTAAGTTGGATTTTGAAATAACCGAGTTTGAATTAATGAAGTTTTACGATATATGCTATCTGATATATCGTAGATTATCAGGTGCACGCGCCGACGAACATACCGATAACACGTGCCTCCACCCCTCGCCACGGCGCATGCTCCGGCCTCGGGCCAGGGTATTAAAACCAAGACAGCAGCCTCGTGAATAAACATTGTTGTTCCTTCTTGTTCTGGCCATGCATCGTCTTATTCTTCGCCCTTACGATACTACAGTGGCGACGAGGATGGGATCCGGTTAATTGCACTCCGACGCTGAGACCAGAAGAATGGGATCCCGACCCCCTGCCTTCGACGACGCCGTGAGTAGCTGGAGCACGTATCGTGTCCGGTTGGAAGCCTACTTTGAGGGCAACGATATTACCGACGTAGCGAAACGCCGGGCCCTACTGGTTTCATCGTTGAGCGACAGTGTCGTCCGGATATTGCAAGGGCACCAGCCGGGGGTCGCCATCAACTCCTTGACGTACGATGACGTTGTGAAATGCTTGGAAGAACATTTCAACCCTCAGGCAAACGAAATAGCAGCAAGCTATTCTTTCTTTATGCGAAAACAAGATGAGCAAGAAAGCGTCCGGGACTACATTGCTGAACTGAGAAGACTGGCCGTAAATTGTAATTTCGGGGCGACACTGGACCGTATGTTGCGGGACCGAATCGTTTGTGGGATTCGGGATGAGGAAACGCGCCGGTGCCTGCTGGGCCGCAAGAACTTGACTCGTGAAGAAGCCGAAGAATTCGCCTTAGCTTCTGAGAAAGCGAACGAAGACGCTCGGGGCATGCGTACTTCATACGCCCGGACCGAAGGTGGCGGCGTCAACGTGATACAGCAACAAGGCAGACAGTGGAGGAAGAATTGCAGCCTTTCATGCGACAGATGCAAAGGGGCGCATGCAACGGCGTCCTGTCGACATCGCAGATCCATATGCCATCAATGTGGTAAAAGAGGGCATCTTGCTAGGGCTTGCAAAAGACCCCACACCCCCAGGTCAGGAACGTTCGCTGTCGACGGAACCGAATGTGAAAGCGAAGAAGAGAGGTTGTATGCTCTCGTTGCACACAGTTCCGCCAATAAGCACTTGGTGCAGCCAATCGAGCGCACCTTAACGTGGGAAGGCCGTAGGCTGCGAATGATTGTCGATACT